GTTCGAAATGTTTTCTTGAAGACACAAGAAGTAATTTTGTATTGGACACTAGGAAAATATATAAAAATAGATACATCATCAACTAAAAACTAACAAATATAAAAGTTGAAGCCATTTTAATAATTTCACTTTTATGCTAATAAAACTATTAATAACATTGTTTGTGCTTCAATTATTGATATTTTTACTGTGAATGAAATTTTATTGACAAATATATAGCCTATTATTAGCAAAAATCAAGTGCACCACTCATTTAATAATGATTTTGGAAAAAAATGGTTAATTTTATGAAAATTCTCTCTGTCGACGTAATAATTTTCTAGTCGCAAACTCAACTCAATTTGTTGTAGATAATGTAATGTATAATATCTTTGTACTTTTCAACTGTAAATATCACTATATGTGCGGTATTTCATATTATCAACTCATCTAATGTCAGTATTTCGAATTACTATCATTTCAAAATGGCGTCATTCTATAAAATAATTTGGTATCAATAGCAAGCATTTCAACGTATGAAACTGTTAAGAAACACTTAGTTCTAGGAGTGATGCTATTGCGGCTGAGCCGGACTACTTCTAAAGCAATAGATTCCTACAAAATTGCTTGTATGAAGATAGGATTTCTCACGTATACTTTGGATAAATATTATATATCAGGATGTTTTGGCTAAATAGCTTCTTCCATCGATTATAAAGGCTAAATTTCGAAAAGGAGTTTTGAGCTAGTGACTTAAGGGTATACATACATGGTGCTCCACTCAAATCGACAGATTTTAATAATTAATACATTTTTTCTGTTTTTAGTAAGAAAAAAAACTGAAACACTAGTTTATGTAGGTCTTCGTCTGAATGAACCTCTTTTCTTAATTTTTTTCCAATGACCAATATTACACGACAATATTAGGTTATTGGGACGCTAGTCAAATAAAATTGACTAATCATACTTCATTACACGACATCTAAAATCAATGTCAGCTGGTTCTTCTTGAATGCTGCATTTTATTCTTGGCAGCAGCAAATATGTATTTGCTGAAGCAGTTTGATTTTATAACAGTTATTTTATTGTTTTGGAATTGTAGTAAATATACCATACTATAAAATAGTTGAGAAATCATCATGGAAGTGACAATATATTAATAAAAACAAAATTGTATATGAAAGCATTTCAATGAAATAATTTCATTGAAGCTACAGACATCAGTTATTGAATCAACTTGAAATAGTTTTATAAAGATCATACAAACCTCGCAGAAAAGTGCCATAAAACTTGCTACAAAACAATTCACTTTCATAGAAAAATATGTTTGATAAATTAGTTGTAAAAACGTTTCTGTGATAATTTCCTGACTATTTTATAACGATTTTTCAATTTCATTTTAAAATTGTTTCTATGACAAATTTATAAAACACTTTTATCTACAATTAGCATTCTGGAAGTAATTATAAAATACCAACAAAATAAAACTGTTAGAGCTCCATGAAATTATAAAACTTGGTTGGGTTATTATATAGTTACCAAAGTCTAGTATAGATGTTCCCGAACTTCAACAATATGTAATCCCTTACAAGAGTAAGAATCAGGGCAATCGATAATGTGAATATTAAAATACGACTTCACATGAAAAGCCATATACAAAGATTCATGTTCTATTATGGTCCAAAACTGTTCAACCTACTCCCAGTAGAATTGAAAACAAATAAAATAATGAATAAATTCAAATATACCCTAAGTGATTCATAATCAAGAAATCAAAAAAATTAATAAATCTTCTACATCGAATAACAGTTTCTATCGTTTGTAGCTTTTTTTATACAAGCATATACTGAACGTATAGCTACACTGAAGTTCATCATAAATTGATGATGATTCAATTAGGTAACTCGTATCTGCAAAAAATCTAAATCTGATACTATCCGCATAGTCTATCGATTCCCAATTGGAACGGCAATAAAAATAAGAATACAGTCATAAACATTTCTTGCCTATGGCCCCTAGTCGCCATAGTTAGTAAACGTACTATCATATGTAGTTGAGGAATAATTGCTCGGCTAGCTGGACTGGCTGAATACTAATTTTTTGTCCGTTTCACAATATTTCTTCATCAGTGCCGTGTGTTCGTGGGGTTAGGTGAGGTAGTTTTTTACACCAAAGGTTTCAATCTCATCGTTTAAACCGATTTTTGTGAAAATCTTAGTGTTTTTGGGTACTTTCATCAATATAGCTTTCTAGAGACCTTTTGAAACAAATGATAACATTACGTGTGAGGAATCTGTCAATCGACAGGGATCCGGAATTTGAAAAAAAGGACTTACATGTTCAAGTTCAGCGAGTAATTTTAAATATTCATGAATGCTTGAAGAAGAAAAACTGTCACACTTCACATAATGCTATTGTGAATAGGATATGCAAGTGAACTATCTCGATTACAATTACAAATCTTTAGAAACTCTACGAGGTGTCTTATTGTCTTGTGGTTTCAAATATAAAGAATTAAACAATCAGATGGTCATAATGGAATTGACACGCATTGTTCAACTCCGACAAGAATATTGGAGGCGAATGAAAAGCTACAGAGAATCCAGCAGACATATAATCTACCTCGACGAAACTTGGTTTGACACCCAAGATGTTGTCAAATATGGCTGGGTAGACGAAACCAAGTATTGTGCTTTGAACACACCTTTTTCAAGGGGAAAACGTGTTATAATTTTGCATGCCGGGAATGAAAGTGGTTTCGTACCTAACGCTTTGCTTCTGTCGGCAAAAAATATAAAAGATTCGTCTGCTGATTACCACGAAGATATGACTGCAGCTTTATTCGAAACCTGGTTCAGTGAGCAGCGCCTCCCTAATATTCCTCCAAACTCGGTTATTGACTACAATACCAAACAATAGCACAAAAAAAGCAGATTTTGTTGATTTCATGCGTAATCATGACATGGAAATACCCGAAAAAATTCCAACGAAAGAGGTATTAATGGCAACCATAAAACAACGTAATTTTAAAAAAGAATATATTATTGATTCGATGTGTGAAACACGTGGTCATGTTCGCTTACTATTGTGTGTTCAATCCAATTGAAATTGTTTGGGCCACAATGAAAGAAAGCCTGCGGAAATGTAATCAGTCACCGACTTTGAATGCTGTAGTGCTTGACAATATAAGGCGAGTGGTGAATGAAGTAGGTAATAGTGATGTGTGGAAGAACTGTGTTGCCCACGTTATAAAAGAAGACAACAAATATTATATGCAAAGTTCCATAAATCGATAGCTATTCAACCCGATGATGATTCTGCCTCATCCGAATATAGCGAAGAATTTTGATTTTTTTAGCAATTTTGTTGGCCTCTATCATTTTGTAAATTTGTGTTTTTATTGTATTTTAAAGTTTTCGACTCGGAAATCAACTACCTTGAATTTCGAAGTTATTCATAATTACCCATGGTGGAAAAATTCAGTTGAGATAACTTTTTTATGGGATGATCAATTGCTATGATTGTAACTACCACTGAAAAATAATATGCCGACGTCTATGTCGAGGCGGGAATTCCTTCTCTGTGCTGTTCCAATTGATATTGGAAATACTATAATGTATTCATTTTTACTTCAATCTGAACAAACGACTTGGACGGTTGAGTCCAGCAATGCATTTGTGGTTCAGCCTAGCACCACTGATGAGACTTTTGGTAGGTCGAAACAGCACTGTCTGGTGTTGAATCAAATGCGTTGTGTTTGGGCTCTGGTTTCAACTTTAAGCTTGGCTGTGAGAGCTACAGTGAAAGACAGAGAACGAATCTTGTCGGCGGTGGATGTCGAAGCATAGGTTTGCAACTGACTGCCTTGAGGAGACTTGTTTATCTTCAATATTCGAAGTTTGAGTTCTCTGTCGATCTCATAGGCGGTGTCTTCGTAAGGAGAGATATCATCGCACTTGTCAACATACTCTTTGGCTTAAATAATTTTTGAAAATAATAATGATTTTGATCTTCCTCTGAATATACAATTATTTTCAGCTAGAAATTATATGATGAACTAATTTTAAATATTTTGATTTTTCAGGCATGTCACCGACTTTGAATGCTGTAGTGCTTGACAATATAAGGCGAGTGGTGAATGAAGTAGGTAATAGTGATGTGTGGAAGAACTGTGTTGCCCACGTTATAAAAGAAGACAACAAATATTATATGCAAAGTTCCATAAATCGATAGCTATTCAACCCGATGATGATTCTGCCTCATCCGAATATAGCGAAGAATTTTGATTTTTTTAGCAATTTTGTTGGCCTCTATCATTTTGTAAATTTGTGTTTTTATTGTATTTTAAAGTTTTCGACTCGGAAATCAACTACCTTGAATTTCGAAGTTATTCATAATTACCCATGGTGGAAAAATTCAGTTGAGATAACTTTTTTATGGGATGATCAATTGCTATGATTGTAACTACCACTGAAAAATAATATGCCGACGTCTATGTCGAGGCGGGAATTCCTTCTCTGTGCTGTTCCAATTGATATTGGAAATACTATAATGTATTCATTTTTACTTCAATCTGAACAAACGACTTGGACGGTTGAGTCCAGCAATGCATTTGTGGTTCAGCCTAGCACCACTGATGAGACTTTTGGTAGGTCGAAACAGCACTGTCTGGTGTTGAATCAAATGCGTTGTGTTTGGGCTCTGGTTTCAACTTTAAGCTTGGCTGTGAGAGCTACAGTGAAAGACAGAGAACGAATCTTGTCGGCGGTGGATGTCGAAGCATAGGTTTGCAACTGACTGCCTTGAGGAGACTTGTTTATCTTCAATATTCGAAGTTTGAGTTCTCTGTCGATCTCATAGGCGGTGTCTTCGTAAGGAGAGATATCATCGCACTTGTCAACATACTCTTTGGCTTAAATAATTTTTGAAAATAATAATGATTTTGATCTTCCTCTGAATATACAATTATTTTCAGCTAGAAATTATATGATGAACTAATTTCAAATATTTTGATTTTTCAGGCAACTTTAGAAAAACCAGCTAATATACCAGTTGTCCTTGCATTTCCAAGCGTACTTTATCAAACGAGGATAGGAGGATATCAATCGGAAATTTTTCTTCCTTTGGGAATGGTAGTAAACGCCGTCTTCAAAAACCAACATTGGTTGTATGTACAGACTCCACATGCTGAAGAAGGATATGTTAGTTACGCTGCCTGTTTGCCATTAGGTTAGTTTCTAGTTATTCGAATATTCAATCAATACGTATGGGTAAACTATATTTTATGCCATTTTTTTGGTAAACACTATGTTCCACAGAACACGAAAATATATACCAATATACTAATAACTAATAAATTGATGGATGTATCCGTTACTACGTGGTAGGAGATCATGAAAAATAAGAAATGAAACTTTCTGTTTTTTACCACCTCTATTTGTAACTAACGTTACTGCTGTTTCATCCAATGAGGGCATTTTTAAAGTAATACAACAAAACTGTACAATAATATTCATTGTATTACTTTGAAAATGTTATTATAGGATGAGACTGCACTAACGTTAATTACAAATGAAAGTAGTTTAAAAACATAGAAAGTTTCATTTCTCATTTTTCACATATCTAGGTACTAATAATTTGGTTGATATGCCATTACTTTGTACATAATAATGACTAGTTTTTCAATATTAGTCATATTGACGCCCAAGTGAATAATTTGTACAAAAATGATCTTCAATTGACCGTATTCTGTTCGTATACTGAAGAGGAATTATTCAATTCACGTATAAGTAAGCTCAAAAATGAACAATCCTTGGGCTCCGATGGAGTTTCCAGTTTTCTTCTTGAAATAATTTTAGAATATATTATAAAATCAATTACCTTTTCGGACAATCTCTCAATCTCTTTGTTTTCACCTCTTTGTGAAAACAAAGACTAATGAAAGGTTTAATAACAGACCAATTATAATTTCTATGTCCCTGTCAAAAATCTTTGAATATGCCTTTTTGAATAGATTGAGAGCTTTCTTGGAAGTAATTAATATTTTGGATCAAAATCAACATGGATTTATAAACCATAGATCAACAACTTCGGCCATAAACTCAATATTATGAGCAGGGCATTCGACTGCGTCAAACTTTCATCCTTATTAGCTAAGTTAGCGAAATACGGTATATCCGAAGGACCTTTAAATTGGATAGAAACTTTTTTGAAAAAAAGGAAGCAATATGTCAGCATTTTTTATCGTAATCATTCAGTAGAACATCATATTGATTCAGTTAACTAGTTTAGTGATCCAATATTTTTTTCTAAAAAAGGGATTGGTTGGGTAACGGGATCAATTTTTCCTTAAAAAACAATTGTATTCTTGCCGACGTTTCGAATTTAATTAAAATCTTGTTAAAGGCTCGAAAAAGAGTTTTTTTGTGTTCATAATATTACGATTTTAAAAACCATCAGACATATTAGATACATATTGGAAAAATGAAAATAAAAAACGTCATGAAACAAACGATTTGTGTTGTTGTTGTCGTCACGGAAATTTGTTGTTTCAGTGATTTTTTTATTTTTATTTTGCAAATATGTATCTAATATGTCTGATGGTTTTTAAAATTGTAATATTATCAACACAAAAAACTACTTTTCGAGCCCTGAAGAAGAATTTAATTGAATTCAAAACGTCGGCAAGGATACAATTTTAAGGAAAAATTGATCCCGTTACCCAACCAACCCTTTTTCAGACATCATATTAATTCTAATGAAGTAGAAGTCGACCATGGGGACAGAAAGGGTCTATATTTGGTCATGTACTCTTTACGAATTTCACTAGTTCGAACTTCCATTGTCTAATATATAAAATTATTTGAAATCTCTGAAACAACTAAAAAAGAAGAATTAAAAATGAATAGCTGAAAATAACAATTATATTAAGCAAAAAAACCTGAAATGAAATGATAGTGGAATAAAATACAAGTAAAAGTAGATCAATTGAACAAAAAAGTAAAAAAAAAGAAATAAAAATGAAAATAAAATAAAAAGTTAAGAGATTCCAAGCCAAGTTAGTTCACGGCGTTTCGATTGTTAGTATCTACAATCGTCTTCGGGTGATGACTGGACTGATTCCTCCGAGAAATGACTATTTATGGGTCGTTCGAGTACTTTCACTTATCTCCGCTTTCCATTTTTCCGCTTCACTGGTTCAGTGGGAGATGACCGTTTGGCGGGAGTTGGCCATTTTTCGCTTGATAATGGGTTTCCATATGTTGCGTATCTCTACGCTAGCTTGGCTGAATACGTTGTTGGACAACATGTATGCGGCTTCCTTGAATTTTCTCCTGAACCAATGTGCCTCTCTGTGTATGATCTCAGCTTGGGAACACTCGATGTTGTGTTGATGGGTCCAAACATGGTCTGCTATTCCTGATTTGATGGTTTCTCCTCGCTGTGTGTGTTTCTTGTGCTCGGCAATGCGAACATTCAATGACCTCTTAGATTCACCAATATAGGATTTTCCGCACTCACAGGGTATCCGGTAAATGCAATCTTGGAATCGCAGTCCGCGTTTGGTGGCCTGGTTTTCATGAGGCTTCTACGGATAGTGTTGCCGGATCTGAAGCAGGCTCTGATGTTGTAGTTGGAACCAATTCTTCTTATCCTCACCGATAATCCTCTGATGTAGGGAAGTGCAAGCACTGGTTGTGACGGCTTCTCTTCCTTGCGAGGCTCCTGCTATCTTTTAGCCAAAGTCTGTTCTACCATCGCTTTGGAGTAGCTATTTCGTTGAAGATAATTTTTGATGGTGTCTAAAGCAAATTCAAATCCAAGATAGAGTTGATGTAAACATTGACATGCCCTACGCACGTGATATTGAAAATCCCAAGAATTGGTCAGGGTCGTATTCAGAACCAACATATTGTTGATCGCAAATGCTAGGAAAACTTTTTCATAATAACGAGTGAAATGCACAAGTTTTGCAGTTTAACGGGAAAAATGCAGATAATATGTGTAATATAAAAAGATTTTCATTGGATTTTTCACAGCGCACTCAAGCATTATATGAAAAGAGACGTAATAATTTTTTATTGATAATTTTTATTTTATGTAAAATCAAAAGGAATATTAATCAAAATTATTCAACTGGATGATTTTGTCTCTTCCTTAGTAGTGTCATCCTCACCAATCTGAATTATCAGTGGCTCGATTTATGCCTCTATTATGTTATCAAGCTTCCACATCTTTGTCTCGACTTCCGAGATCACATGCCGAACACACTTCTTCCATTTTTCCGCTGTGACTCTTTTCAAAGCCTCATCAAAAAGTACTTTGAGATCTGCAAATTTGAACGTGGTGTTATGCTGAGCTACAGAATTATTCACATCCGCCCATATTAACTCGATGGGATTGAGCTCGCAGTGGTATGGAGGCAGGCGAAGGACAATTTTGTATTGGCCTGCTGTCATCTCATCGACTATATATTTTTGGTATTCAAGCTTGCGCTCCTTGATAATTTTTAGTAGCTGTAATCTTAGCATTGAGTCTTTAAAGCTAATATTCTTTGATCGCAGCCAATTTTGGATTTCAACCTTCTTTGAAGACGTTGTCGAAATCTTCTCTAACTGTCGCGAATGATAAGGTGCATTGTCTATTACAATCACAGCATTATCCTCCAGATGGGGTAGAACTTTGGAAAACCACTGTTCGAAAGATTCACCGTTCATTTCTTCGTGATAATCTCCAGTTTTCTTGTCCTCGAAACCTCATAGCCCTTCAGCAACAAACCCATTCTCATTGCCGATGTGACAAAAAATAAGGCGTTTTCCTTTACCTGAAATTATGGAGATTGATGCAGATCTCAATATAAATATAAGTTTACCTGGTGGATTTGTTGATCCGGTGGATAGTCCATCTAGAAAGGCCCTCCTAGATGAGGTCACAGTTTTATCGACCCATACTTTAGGGGTAGTATAACCAGCATTAAACCAGGTTTCATCCATATAATAAATTGTTTTCTGTTGTTCCCTATAATATTTAATTTTGGTCAAATACTCTCCTCCATAACACAATTTCCTCTCTATCTAATAATAAACTATTGCGCCCTCGTTTTTTCCATACAAAATTCAAATGTTTCATGTTTCAAATACTTTATGGAATGTTGACCGCTTAAAACTTGACAATAAAACCTCTTCATTTATTTTTGTGAGTACTAATGGTTCAATAACGAAATATCCTTTTTACAGGAATAATTCCTCCTCCAGAAGATGACAAACCAACACCTTGTTGGGAAAAAAGTAACGATGTATTCCCCAAACCATCTGGTAACATGACGGATACTGAAAAGCTGAGTTCAAAGTCCGACTGTGACGAAGGAGTTAGATGTAAAAATAGGTGAATATTATAAAAAAATCAGAGGTAGTTAGTCTTCTTTATGAAATATGACAATAACAATAAGCTGAGTTTTCGAAGTGTGTCCATTTATTAACTTATTTCTTGATTATGATTATTTATTTCGAAAATATCAATTTTCGTCAAGGATTCATTTAGTTTTACAGTTATTTTTAAGATTAGACGATTTCAACTGAATCAGTATGATATATCATTATATCAATGTAAATAGAGAAATTACGTTTGATATAATTCAATAACAAATAAATTGATTTGTCAGTGTCCACTTTTCGATAAATTGATCATAAGAAAGACGAATTTCAGCTTTACACCTTGATAATTATAATAATTATCAATGGGGAATGTTCCTCATTTTGGGTTATTACAGCGAATGCAAGTTTGAACAAAACAAAGTTGAGTTTAATTCATGAGTTCACTTCTCTCGACAAATTCACTTCGAAAAGTATTTTGATGTTTCAAATGTTGGGTAGAAACTAATCCCTTTAAATGTTGAATGCATTATTTTATTCCTCTTCTTTAAGTATTTAAATAATTTTTTAAAGAAAAAGGTTGAAATGATAAGTTTAAAATGCGTTGTTTTAGAGCTCTTTTATGAAAACTACTTGATTTTCGTCAGGAGGAACATTCCTCATTATGTTACTGTAGGTGAATTTTGATAAATCATTTATTTGCGACAACAGATATTGGAAGCATTTCAAGAGTATTACAAAAACTAAGTTGATAAATTTGTCCTTTTCATTCATTACTATTTCTACGTTTAGACTAGAGTTATTGAGACTCAGATTAAAGTCTTATAAAAATATGTTGAAAAATATAGATAACAGAACTGAATATGACATTAGTCGAAAAGTCACGATGTCGCTTGTCTAACGAAATATACCTATCTCCGGTTGAAGCGTTTTTGGAAGCGATTTTTGGATTTTGAGAGCGGAAAAATATAACTTTCCGTAACGTTAACCAGCAAGCCAAACATATAAATTCCTTCTTTTTTTCATTGATTATTTAATTCTAGGTAAAATTAACGAATACGACAAATAACTATTTGATTTGATATTACGTAGTAGCTTTTCGAGATGAAGTATTCAGTTTCAATGATCACCTACCCCACACCGTGTGTTAGGTGATCATTGAGTCCCAAGTATCAAGTGTCCTGAGCAGACGCAATGAGCCAAGAATGACACATTTCTGAGTGTATTTGGCCTTAATGTGGCAATCAATGCTCTTCGAATTCAACAGTAGTGAGGGCATCATTCCACCAAAGACTTCGAAAATCAGAACAGCTATCTTATCATTGTGGTCTGGATATATTCTGCGGAATTTGAAGAGATAATCTGAATGAATAATTCGTTGTTCCTCCTCTTTTTGGTTATTAATACGTTCGTTATTATTTTTTCCCGAAAGTTGAGCCGGTCGGGACATGTTGGCGAAACCCCGATACATTCAAGAGGGCGCGCCAGCATCAGCAACCATTGACCACTTCCTATACCGTGTGGTAAGTTATTACTGGGTCTGAGAATCATGTGCCCTAAGCAGACGCAATGGGTTAAGAATTACAGCCTTCTGCATTTGTCTGGCCAAGATGTCTGCTTCAGTGCGTCAAGCTGGCATGATCTTGAGATTCGAAAGTGGAGAAGGCGACATTCCACCAAGGACTCAGAAAAACAGAGCAACAATCTCAATAGAGTGGTCTTGATAAAGTCTATGGGAAATATTAAGAAAATCTCAATATTTCATCTGGTTTTCCCTCTCTTTTCAGGCGATATTCGTTTTACCCAGGGCTGAAAACTTCCCGATGAATACCGTCTTGCTCTGGTAGTCGAGAAAATATGTATGTTTTATAAGCATGTATGAGCCTGAGGGCGGGGAATGAAAAGCTTCAATAAATTCGGCACTTCTCTTTTTCCCACAACAGATTCAATTCCCGAAGTATGAGGCATAAAAGTTCCATAGGTGATGATAAAGCATTCTGAGTGCAGCCTTATGTCGATGGATTTAGGCTGAGACCACATATGATGAACATGCTGACAGCAAAAGCATGCTATTGAAAAAGACCCCCTGCATTGGCTTATGCCAATGCCACAAGAATGAAATGATCTCTGCGGCTTTAATGTAGATTTTTTGCTGAACGGATTTCAACAGAGTTATCACTCTGTTCAGTGATGAAAACTAAACAACGCGACATTCATCCTCCGTTCACAGTAGCTGCTTTGAATAAATGCTCCAATTCCTACTCTCTCCGTTGCGGACCATGAAGAAAAGAGGATCCGAACTCCTCTTATCTCGAAAGTAAACGTCCTCTCTGTTGTTGGAGGAAGAACAACTGTGTAACGGATGATTTGAGATGAAAACTCTTTCTGGTCTTTACGTCGAGTTGGTACAGCTCCCCCCGAGTCCGCTTCACTACACCAAACGAGTAGAGTAAGACTGAAATTGCAAGCATATTCGTAACACAACTTTGTTCTTTCCCGATAGTTCCGATGACCAGATCTATCAGAGTTCGTGCTGATACTTGCCGTGGAGAGAATTTCTCACTTTGTTTCCTCTTGTGAGTGGTGTTACTAGACCCCGATGTAAGTATACGTCTCTCCAGCATCCAGATGATACGGGATGCTTCCGTCACCATAATCTCCCCTCTCCTTTTTTGCACGTATCTATCCCGAATTTTATACTCTTCCAACATCCTCAAGGACTGATGGAGATTTTTTTCTTCAGAGGAAAATAGTTCAGGAGTATCCTGTTATACCCTCGAGTATTTCTGGGTGCAACGGATAATGGCAATAGTGAGATTCCAGGAAGCCGGTTTTCTCCTGAGATTAGAGAGCAATGAAGACAACATTTCACGTAGGACACCTAATATCAGAGCAACCATTGTAACCTGTAGAACCTGTGGAGTTCAAAGAGTAAATCTCGACATTCAATCCGATTTTCATCCTTTTATCAGACGATATTCGCTTTACTTGAAGCAGAAACACCATCACGAATATCGTCTTACTTTGATGGTCGGGGACGACTATAAGAGGCATATTAGATCGTGTCTGCCTGAGTGTGGGTAGTGAGTGATTCGAATATATTCAATAACTCTCATTTTTCGGAGAGTTCAAAAAAGTCTGCAGACGAAAGCAAAGAGAAGCCTGGAGAGCCTATTGTGAGACAGTCGAAGACTTCCCACCAGCTTCTAGGCTACAGAAGGCACTTTCAAATGACCACCATAAGAGTATCGGCATCCCGACGAGGGAAAATGGCGACAAAGCCTTCAACCTCCTTGAGAGTGCTGAGATTTTTATGGAAACTCACTTCCCAGGTTCTGTCTTTCTTGGAACGACGAACTGGACGGATGTAGCAACAACATCCTCACAATACGACTGGCAATATGCTAGTACAGTAATTGATGAGAACAAAATAAGATGGGCTATATCGGGCTTTTCCCCCTTCAAGTCACCAGGACCTGACGGTATAAGACCAGCCCTACTTCAGTGGAGATTGGATACTCTTATGCCGCACCTGGTTGGAATATTCAGAGCCTCTCTAGCTCTGAGGTATATTCCCAGTAAGTGGAGAGAAGTAAGAGAAGTATTTATACTCAAACCAGGTAGGATGGACTACACCCTACCAAGAGCATTCCGACCATTAGTCTCAAAACGTTTTTCTTAAAAGCCATGGAGAGGCTAGTGAGCGGTACATAAGAGATGAAGTACTTGTTCACAGCTCACTTCATCCAAATCAGCATGCATATAATCCGGGAAGGTCTACTGATTCGGCCCTTCACCATGTGGTTGTCAGAATCGAGAGATCATTGGACAACAAAGAATCGACCCTGGGTATATTCATAGATATCGAGGGAGCGTTTGATAAAACAACCTTTCCAACAATTACCCAGCAACTACACTCTAAGAATGTACCCCAGGTAGTAGGAGAATGGATACTCCAGATGCTCTCTAGTAGAGCAATGAGTATTAATGTAGAAGACATCACAGTGAAAGGACTGGTCATGAGGGGATGTTCACAGGGAGGGGTCTTATCACCCCTTCTCTGGAACATAGTTCTGGATACCCTAATTAATCATCTTGACAAAAATGGATTCTACACAATTGCATACGCAGATGACATAGTTATCTTGCAGTGTGTAAACACCTGTGCGATAGAGCGCAGGATGGGCTTAAATTAATAGAAACATGGTGTAAGGAACACTCACTGTCAATCAATCCCAAGAAGACTGATATGGTCCTTTTCACCAGGAAAAGAAGTTTAACGGGCTCAAAACGTCCCGAAATGTTCAAAAGCAAACTAAACTTCTCTGAAGAGGTGAAATACCTTGGTACTATCTTCGACAAGAAGCTAACATGGAACTATCATCTACAGAGTAGAGCAAAAAGAGCATATCTGACTTATGAGCAATGTCGGAGGACAGTGGGACGCGCATGGGGTCTTTCACCCCGTGGGGTCATCTGGATCTACATTGCAATAATAAGACCTATGTTAAAGTATGGAGCCATTGCATGGGGATCGAAAGTTCTACAAGCAACGGCCATCTAAAAAGTATATCAAATACAGCGACTGGCTTGTTTAAACAACACCAACAACACCAACCGCGGCAATGGAATTAATCACGGGTATGACCCCTCTGGATCTGTACGTTTAGGAGGTTACGTTAATGGCCATGGTACGATTGCGCACGGCTGGTGTAAACCTCGAAGTAGGAATGGGTCAATTGAGGCTGGGCCTATGGCGGGAAGGGCTTACTGCGCAACTTCTGCTGCAGGCAACAAGTGATGCAATTGAACCCAGGTTTGTGTTTAATAAACCCTACAAAATACAAATTAAGCAGAACACAGAGTCAGATGCTACAAATGCAATATGTGTGTGTTCGGCGAGTCTTGGCCTACATCTGCCGATATAAAGGAGATGTCTCCCAGCGACCTGTCCACCTTCCTGGAAAAGACAGGATGGACGAAGACCTAGGAGGACAACAACTCGGAAGGATG